AGACACTCTTTATGCCTGGAGTTTTAGTCTGCGCTTCAGACTGAAACAATCATAATTCAACTGAAACCACAGTTTCTATGTAGTGTCCAGAATGAGTCATAAATCAGACCAACTTCATGAACCTTACTAGCTTAATATCTGTGACCAAGCTTTGGGTATTGAGCTTTGAATCGAACAAATGTCTTACGGCCTTCAGGCCTGGATATTTCACACAGCTGAAGTACTATCACTTGCTTTTAGTTTTACTAAATCAGGATTGATCTTACCATAAAATATTCTTTCTTCAATATAACAAATTTTCTTGAGAAAAAAAAATCTAGAGGATCTATGTTTATGTTCTAGAAAAGCTACTGTAATTAGGCATGTCATGTCAAATACCCTGAAACCTCAGAGAAAATTCAGTGAATGAAATCCTAGCCCTGACATAGCAGAATTTCTTTGACTTTTGTGTGATGAAGATTTCATCCAAAGTCTTTGATAGAGATGGGGGAAGACTGAATGTCTAGATGTGACAGAACTGAAACTTCAAATGATCCACAGTATAAACACACATGACCTTGATATTTCCAATGAATCTGTGTCCATATAAATTCAGATGTTGCAGAAGTGGAACTATGCATCCATATGTAATAAAACTGTCCCTCTTTTAATCCAGTAAGGCACCAGCAAGGAAGTTAATCGTTTAGTAGAAACATAAATCTGCACTTCAATAAATAAAAACAATATGAGAAATCCACTCTTTGAAATCTTGAATGCTTTTATAGACACAAAAGTATACAAAAGTCAGAGATAACTCATAGAATCATAGAATCATAGAATAGTTAGGGTGGAAAGGACCTTAAGATCATCTAGTTCCAACCCCCTGCCATGGGCAGGGACACCTCACACTAAACCATCTCACCCAAGGCTCTGTCCAACCTGGCCTTGAACACTGCCAGGGATGGAGCATTCAAAACTTCCCTGGGCAACCCATTCCAGTGCCTCACCACCCTTACAGTAAAGAACTTACTCCTTATATCCGATCTAAACTTCCCCTGTTTAAGTTTTAACCTGTTACCCCTTGTCCTATCACTACAGTCCCTAATGAAGAGTCCCTCCCCAGCATCCCTATAGGCCCCCTTCAGATACTGGAAGGCTGCTATGAGGTCTCCACGCAGCCTTCTCTTCTCCAGGCTGAACAGCCCCAACTTCCTCAGCCTGTCTTCATACGGGAGGTGCTCCAGTCCCCTGATCACCCTTGTGGCCCTCCTCTGGACTTGTTCCAACAGTTCCATGTCCTTTTTATGTTGAGGACACCAGAACTGCACACAATACTCCAGGTGAGGTCTCACAAGACCAGAGTAGAGGGGCAGGATCACCTCCTTCGACCTGCTGGTCACGCTCCTTTTGATGCAGCCCAGGATACGGTTGGCTTTCTGGGCTGCAAGAGCACACTGAAGCCGGCTCATGTTCATTTTCTCATCAACCAACACCCCCAAGTCCTTCTCCTCAGGGCTGCTCTGAATCTCTTCTCTGCCCAACCTGTAGCTGTGCCTGGGATTGTCCTGACCCAGGTGTAGGACCTTGCACTTGGCATGGTTAAACTCCATAAGGTTGGCATCAGCCCACCTCACAAGCGTGTCAAGGTCCCTCTGGATGGCATCCCTTCCCTCCAGGGTATCAACTGAACCACACAGCTTGGTGTCATCGGCAAACCTGCTGTGGGTGCACTCAATCCCACTGTCCATGTCAGCAATGAAGATGTTGAACAAGACCAGTGCCAACACCAGCCAGAGGGACACCACTCGTTACTGGTCTCCAGCTGGATATTGAGCCATTGACCACAACCCTTTGCGTGTGGCCATCCAGCCAGTACTTTATCTACCAAGTGGTCCATCTTGAATTTCATTATTGTATAATGAAATTCAAGATTGTGTACCACAGCCTAATAAAAACTTCTGGTATAATCTGATAGTTTGAGAGTCAAAAATTGTACAGCATGAGAAAAAATTGTTATTAGTACTGAGCATAGGACAAGCTATAAACTATCAACATAGGAAAGTCATGAAAGAAAGTAAGGCCAATCCCATCTTCACCAGTGTTTAAATGGGATGGAGAGATTTAATGCTATTATGCACGTTACTATTGAGAGTTTACTAGAATGCCATGTATAAAACTCTGTCCAGCAGTGTTTAAGACAGCCTAAATCAAACTGTAATAAATGACAGATGTCATCAGAGTAATACACAACTTCTTTTATGAAAAGAGATTAAAAGAAGATCTGGTTTGTATATAAATACATCAAATGGTGAACAGAAGAGATTAGCACTTAAGAACATTATTGATGGAGAAACACATAAGACCATTTCTAATCAGAGGAGTGATGTTCAGGCACAGCCTTCAGTAGGAACAGTGAAACAAACGGATTTTAAGATGAACCTCTGGATTGAAGAAGTTATTAGATAATGTAGTCTGCTAAACAGCAGAATCTTCGATTGGCAATTCAGAGGTTTTACTCAGGTCACACTTTTTTTTACTTTTTTTCCTGACCTGTACCTGAAGCTTTTGATTCTGACAAAGTGGTGTTTTTTTTCAATAAATACTAGATAAAATAGTTCTGTCTGATATAAAGTAATTATGTTGGAATACCAGTACTAAGTACAGTGAAGTAATATGCAGGATATAGCCAGAAGCATTCAGAACACAATGAAGAAAATTAAATCAACCTGAAAACCAGACACCTGAGTTAAAAGAAAACTTTCGTTTCATCCGAATATTAATCCAGGACAAACATTTTCAAAAACAAAAGCAGAAACACATCTCTCTGATAAGCCTTTTGTCAAACTAATTAGGCTGTGACAAATAATGGGATGACCTCATATGCTTAATTTTAAAAGTTCTAAATTGGCTTTACTTGTGTTCTTATCCTACAGTAAGAATGGCTTGCAACATGCACAGGAACCTTAAGAATTCACAAATGTGAAGAAAACGTGAAAATTTTGAAAATGAGGACAATGAAGATTTTTCCCTGCAGAAGGCAAATAAATATTATTTTAAAAACGAAAATTCAGCTGTAATTTTCAAGTGTTACTGTGCCAAATGTGTGGTCTAAATGCAAGTATTGAAGTATTAAATGGAGAGATTTTAGTCCTGCTGTAAGTACAAACCACAACGAAACGTCAACTGTATAGTTACAAGTAATTACTTTTGCATACAAGTAACACAAAATCTACATCATAATGTGAAAGGAAAAATAACAACGAAGTCTCATGCAAATGAAATTTTACCACAAAAGCACTCTACCTTTCCAGTTTGTTTTCTTCTTCCTCCTTACACAGCTTTAGTCCTCATTGCTCATGATTATCTAAGGGCTTGTGACAATTTTCGGATCTCTGTGTGGAAAGCTCATGGATTCTGTTTGATATTTGCGTATCTCTATAGGTAGCTGGGTCAGGTTGCAAATCCTAAACATCCACAAGATGTGATAGGAGAAATTTTTGCTTTTAGCACACAATCGATAAAGAATTGTTAAACCTTGATGATATCCTATTCAAGTACAGTCCTTTGAAGCATGATGATGCTACCAGGTAGGCAAATCTGGTTTTATAGATGAGGTGAGGAGGTAATACATAGGTGATAAATCATCTGTTTCCCCAAACAACTAAGATAAGATAACTAAGATAAAAGAACTACCTAATATAAGGTGGCTGTAAGAAGGTGTCTCTTGCTTGGTGGTGTAGATTAAATACTTATGTGTAAGTATTGGAGAAGTATGGTGGACTTGCAGGGCTTCTACCTATATTTGGAGTGGAAAATAAAGACAGAAATCCGAAGGTTCTTTGGCCCTTAACAGCTGTTCTGAAACCCTTAAAATCTGCGTGGCTGCTTACTCCTGCTGTGAAGAAACTCCAAGTCCAGCGTATCACAAGTTTAAACAAATGACATTTGAAGAAATGCGCGCTGTCCCTGTAAAGGTCTGGGACAAGATACGTGCCGGAGGACTGGGGTGGGAGTCGGTGCTGCTGCTTCTGCAGCCCAAAGCAAGCTCACATGGACACCTATGGTGTCTTGCCTGGAGAAACCCGACCCTAGCGACTGGCAAGTGGCCGAACAGTTGTTTACCAAGGCGGGGGGGGGGGGTTGGCTATCTTTGCGCAAGTGACCCCTGTGCAGCTACTGTGATCAGGGCCATACGGATGCTCGGTAGCCCTGCTGCCGTCAGGGATTCCTGCACGGCCCGGCTCATCCCCTCCGTGCTCGGCAGCAGGCAGCTCGGGGCTCTGGGGCCCTGCTCCACAGCCAAGCCAGCCGGCAGCGAGCACACAAGCGGGCGGTACACCTCCGGACCGCGGCCTGTTTCCTGCTGCACGGGGGATTCCCCCCGGTGACCGAGACCCGCCCCGCGGCGCGGAGCCTCCGCAACTTGCGGTTACTTCACCTGTCCCCGGGCGAGCTCCCGCTGCCGGCTGGTGGAGCCAGCGCGTGCCGCGCACGTTGAACCCTAACGGTTCACTGCGCGCGAGGAGCTGACCGGGGAGCCAGGGCTGCCGGCGGCGCGGGGCCGGCTCGCCCTGCCGCCTGCCCAGCGGACATCCTTTCCCTCAGACCTCAGGCTGCGCACGGGCAGCCGCGGCGAGTCGGCCGCTGGGCGCAGCTTCCCCTCCCCTTCCATTCCATTCCTCCGAGCTGGCGGACTCCTGCGCCGCGGGGTGAACTCCGGAGAAGGGACGTTTCTGAGCGCCCTGCCTCTCCCCAGCCCCCGCTCCCCTCCGTGCCTCCTCCTCTGGTCACTGGGACTGATGAATTAATCATGATGTGGCTGCTGTTAATGCATTTATGTGGAGCGGGCTGTGCCACCGGCTCGAGGCGTAGCGCGGACGGGTGATGGAGTGAGGGGAGCGCTGGCCCCTTCGCTCCAGCTCGGAGCCGCCGCCGAGCCGCCGCCGCCAGCCACACGGAGCCGAGGCCGCGGCCGCACCGCCCTGCTCTCCATGGCTCCGGAGGAGGTAATGGGAGAGGAGGTAATGGGAGTTGGGATTCGCTCCCCGTCTCCCCAGCAGTCAGGGAAGGGGGCAGGGCTGGCGGGGGTGTGGAGGGGTACAGCGGCGCTGGCAGGGCAGTTTTAACTTGCAGGGTGGGGGGAGAGAAACCTGCGTGTTGGCTGTGGGGAGAGGGTCCTGAGGTTCCCCCAAACCCTGACCGTGCTTTCAAAATTGGTCGCTTGGCACCACTGTGCGGGAGCCAGGCTCACTTTTACCGCCGCTGACGCTGTCAAAAACGCTGTGGCTTCAGCAGTAACAACCGCGAGCGAGCTCCTTCCGCCGGGCTGCCGGGTCAGCCGCTCAGTGAGAGAAATTAAACGCTGTTAATCCATTAGCTTCATCTTCCCCGCTTACGCGAGAGTGAAGAAGACTTGCTAATTAATTTGCATACGAGGGAATGATCTCTGAAGGAAGGAAAAACCCCGTTGCACCTGCTCCGCCGAGACTTGTCAGCTGAATCTGGAGGAGAGCTATAAATCATGTAAAGTGTTCGCGGTGGAGTCGGCTTCTGAGAGCTGTAGGATTATGTATCCAAATGTTGAATTTATATTTCCCATTAGGAAAAGACTGAAACTCAGGTCAGATATAAACTACATCATTTCATTTAAAACTAAACTGTAGTTATTTATTGTAATTCTAGACGGGATTTTTTTTCTCTCTTGATTGAATAGAAAGTACTGTTAGAGCATGTAGTAATGATTTTACACATTATAGCTTGAAATCTCTTGCAGAGTTGGAAGTGGTTGTCAGTGTAAGGATGATGCTTTGGAATCACATATGTCCTGTTATTCTTGAAACACAGAAAAACTGAGAATAACCCGGCTGTTAAATTCTACTTTCAGTTTTTAGTCTGTACATGCCCATATTTTCTGAGATGCAGAATGGAGAAAACTTGGACTAGGGAGACCACAACTTCCATTGAAATGCTTGACCTTCTCAAATACAGCAACTAAAGTCTGCGTGATGTCTGCTTTGATTATTTCCGTCCTTTGAAAAAAAGAATTAATTTAAAAATGTGATAAGCTACTTCCAGGAATTTTGCTTACTGCCTCTAAGGGAATACTGTGATAGTTCTTGACACTTGTGTGTTAAATGAACTGAACTGGGAAGAACTACTGTTTGGTAAGATGTTTGTGTTTAGGAATATTTATTCCTGTGGCAGGTATTTTTTTATGGAATAGGAAATGATGGTTTTAGGTTGATAAGATCATGGTTTCACATTGTAGAAATTATTAATACTTTAGTTTTATGACATCAGTGAATGTACATATATTTGACGAGTTTTGTTACTGGCAAAACTACACTGAGGTTTTGTAATTTCATATGAAACTCATTGAGAGTAGGGTTAATTGCTTTAGTAGCCTAACATATTTTTGATACTATTGTAAATGGCAAATATTATAAAGTTCTTATGTTCCAATTGTGTAAAAATACTGCTTTCTGATTCGAAAGATGTGTATTATGGATGGAGCCTGTACATTGCCTTAAGTCATGTTATCAGAATGAGGGAATTGAGTTTTGTTCTTCAACAGCACATACGTGAATGATTGATTTACAGGTTTCGTAAGTTGTAAGCTTATTGTGTGTGTATGTGTGTGGCAAAAGAGGGCTATACTAGTAAAATGAACTAATAACCTAGAAATCTGTGAGGTAAGCAAGAACATATGAGCCGAGCTAACCACTCAGTATGCTTACTTTGAAAGCAGGCAGTAGCTTTCATATCACTGTTCTTAAAGCAACAAAAAAAAGCGAGCCAAAAATGAGGATAGGCTGGAAATAGACAAAAATTTAAAAGGAGACTAGTCAGAGGGAAAAGCAAAACATTTGAAATGGAGTGTTTCTGTCAAATCCAAGACTGCATGTCACCGTTGAACTCACATATACAGCTATTTATGACATTTAAGGTGGAAGCCTCAGTCTGGTCTGTAACAAACCAGTTAAAAGAGTTTCTGTTGAGGATTTGGTTTATCACAAAAAAAGAGATGATAGAGGTCAAATGAGAGTCAATAAAGGTGGACTTCATCCCTGAGCTTGGAATAAGAGAGCAATTTGTTTTCTTCTCTGATTCTTCTGTCTCTGAGTGGAAATGCTATCATGAACAACAGTCCCTGAACTGGCTAAAGTATACTAAGTGATGGACATTTATTGGTCTGAGATAGCACAGTAATAGAAATACTTTTTCTGTGTAACCAGCGTTGCTCTGGCCAGTGCTTTGGCTATGTAGGTTGTACAGTGATAGCATGGAAGTTCTGAAAAAATAGGGGTTTCTTGATGGGCATAACTTTGAAAGGATCTGAATGAAGAAGAGTTAGCTGTCTGCAACACTGCTTCATGTTCTCTTAATTCTGTACAAATACCTGTGTGGAGTATCTGTAGTCATGTGAATATGCTCTATTTTCTGTAGCTGTTTTGAATTACACACTGCCGTAAGAAAACTTTTAAACTGCTTGTTAAATGATTAACATAAAAGTATTATGTTATGAGGAATGCAGGTAGCTGTACTACCAAACAGAAGCTTAGGTGAAATTTTTGGATAGCAACATGAATATAGAAAAAATAGTGAGGCCTGTATGCATAGTAAAGTCAAATTCCTTTTTTGGCTGTTTATATAGTAAGCAGGAATCTATTAAAGACAAATATTTAATGAAGACCTAAAGAGGCAGTATCATTTCAGTATGTTTGCAGTGCACTGCTTTGTTTAGTTGCTGATTAAATCTTTTGATCTCAAGTAGAGCTTCCAGTCATCTGCTTTGATGCAATATTCCATAAAAGCATGTAAACTAGAGGGGTAAGGGTTTAAGTCTCAAGTCTGTTTTCTCTTAAAGATAAAAAATGTGTATAGTCCTCTCATAGTCCTCTCACAGACCCAGTTGAACTTTAGTGGGAATAGTGAGAACAAAAAAAATGGGAAGAGGTGGGGAGCTGAACAGGGAGCAGTTCTTCACCATAGTAATTTGTGCTGAAGAAAAGGCTTTTCTGAGCTGGGTAACAGTGCTAATCCCAGTCATAAAGTCACCAAGTCTGCTTAAAGCCAGTTAAATGCTTTGTCCTATTGCTCTTTTTGGAAAGATGTTTCAAACCCTCTGTCCTAATGTTTAGAACTTTCTTTGAACTTCCAACCTAAATATATTCTTTGATTCCTAATTTTTAATATCTCAGTATTGTTATTTCAAAACAACTCTTTCGTTGGTTTGTAGCCCTCAATAAATTACAAACATTGATCATGTGCCTGCCTTGGCTTTTTATGTGCTGGGATCAAACAAGCAGAGCAAGCACATTTTAATCTGTCTTGTAAAACAGAATAAATAGGAGGATACAGAGCTTAGTGGCGTGATTCTCCTGAATTCTGAATGTACTTCACCTGCCTCAAATACCTTGTACCTGATGTGTTTCCTCAGAGTCTTGAATAATAGTGCTAATGCTGCGCTTGGTCTACTGAAAATACTTTACCAGATAGTGGTGACGATCAAGCTTGTTTTATAGGTATGCCAGGTTGGCTTAACCTTCATGGAGTAAACTAGACATGGGTGTGTGATTTCTCTTTTCCTGTTGCTCTGAAATGGTAAAACACCATGTAGTCAGAGAAATTCTATTTGTAATCATGTGGCTTTGAAGAGTTGCTAAACATTTTCCCATTTCTAATATGCCTATCCAAATAGTCCTCCAGTTTCTTCTCTAAGTTAGTGAGAGCCTCCCAAGTATCAAGAGTGCTTCCTGTAACCATGTTTTATCAAAGCACCTCTACTTTTTACCAGGTTCAGAGATACGAAATGAGTCTGAAGAAGGATTTAAAATAAGTCCATTGAGTATGTCACTGTTAGTAAGTTTTATATCCACTTCATTTTTGTGTTATACTCCATCTTTTACAGCTCTAAATAATGTCTAGGTGATACCATATCGAATTCTTTACTGAAATCTGGAGATTGGACTCTGGGTCTCCTTTGCCTATATATTTCCTTTTAAAAGTCAGTTATTCCAGACTGATATGTCTCTTTAAAGTTATGTTGAAATTGTTCTGATTTTTGAAATTGTCCTACTTACTGTTAACTGAAAAAACAAAATTCCTTTTTCTCATACATGGAAGTCAGGATAACAATTGCCTGGGTCACCTGCTTCTCTCCTACCTAAGTGCCATGTTTTCTACTCCTTGGTATACTCTCCACTTTGATCCAGCCTTTTTTTTCTTTTTCCTACTCACTATTTAAAAGGAGTAGTACCCTTCAGATTTATGCTGATGATAGGTCCCTTGTAAATTCTCTACCCTGTGGCAAATCCATTAATAGTCCTGCAAGGAAGCATAATTTAATAGCTCAAAAGCCATTATACGTTAGCCATTGAGAACAGAGGACTGATCCAAGCGTTTTTAAAATTACTATTTATTTATTTAATTAATTATTAAGCAATTGTTTTTTTTTCTTAGGTCAGCTTTGTATCCCTACTGTTTATTTCTTACCCCATTCCACCCTTACAATTACTGTCCTTCTGTTCAGCTGCTTAGGTGGTGTTCTCTTGGGACTGAAAAAAAAGATTGAAGTGGAATATTGTGGGATTTTCATGATGACATGGCTAACACTTGAAAATTGAGTCATGGAATTGCCATTGAAAAGGTACTATAGAAGTGGAAAGTCGTAAATCTGTCTTAATAATTTAAAATTTACTTAGGTTATTCTGTTAAATTACAGACTGACCAATGTTTGTGATGAGTAAATTTGTTGAAATTATTTAAAGATACTGTAATTCTCTAGATGCCACTTTAAGAAGACAGCTAGTTTATGTGGCTCCACAGAAAAAAATTACGTCTTCCTGCTGAAAGGACTTTGAAGCCCTTTTTTCAGTTTTACATCCAAGGTTCCTTGACCTCAAAAGTGAAGCATCTCTTCAAGATTCTGTTTGGTTTTGTTGTTTGGGGTTTTTTTAACCATGCCAAGTGCAAGGTCCTACACTGGGGTCGGAGCAATCCCAGGCACAGCTACAGGTTGGGCAGAGAAGAGATTCAGAGCAGCCCTGTGGAGAAGGACTTGGGGGTGTTGGTTGATGAGAAAATGAACATGGGCCGGCTTCAGTGTGCGCTTGCAGCCCAGAAAGCCAACTGTATCCTGGGCTGCATCAAAAGGATCTTGACCAGCAGGTCAAAGGAGGTGATCCTGCCCCTCTACTCTGCTCTTGTGAGACCTCACCTGGAGTATTGTGTGCAGTTCTGGTGTCCTCAACATAAAAAGGACATGGAACTGTTGGAACAAGTCCAGAGGAGGGCCACGAGGATGATCAGGAGACTGGAGCACCTCCCATATGAAGACAGGCTGAGGAAGTTGGGGCTGTTCAGCCTGGAGAAGAGAAGGCTGTGTGGAGACCTCCTAGCAGCCTTCCAGTAGCTGAAGGGGGCCTATGGGGATGCCTGGGAGGGACTCTTCATTAGGGACTGTAGTGAAAGGACAAGGGGTAATGGGTTAAAACTTAAACAGGGGAAGTTTAGGTTGGATATAAGGAGGAAGTTCTTTCCTGTAAGGGTGTGGTGAGGCACTGGAATGGGTTGCCCAGGGAGGTTGTGAATGCTCCATCCCTGGCAGTGTTCAAGGTC